ATCACTGAAAAGAGTCTGGCCCCATCCTCTTGACACCCACCCTTCAGATATTTACAAGCATTTATTAGGTCCCCTCTCAGCCTTCTCTTCTTCAGGCTAAACAAGCCCAGCTCCCTCAGCCTCTCCTCGTAGGAGAGATGCTCCAGTCCCCTCATCATCTTTGCAGCCCTCTGCTGGACTGTCTCCAGTAGCTCCTCATCTTTCTTGAACTAGGGAGCCCAGAACTGGATGCAGTGCTTAGAACCTGAGCATCCACTGTTTCTTGATAGATAAGCTTTCCCCCATCAGTCTTCCCAGGGCGAATGGAAGTCACACCCCTCGTTACAGGCAAAAAATCCTAGTGTGCAGGGCTACATGTCCCAATCCTTGTCAGATACAGCCACCACAGGTGAAGAGATCAGCACAGCCAGTTGTCCACACTGCCCATCGGCTGGAGGTTACTGTCCCTCCAACAAACAGCCGGTGTGCCGGCTTCTCAGGCTGAGCCCTGTGTGATGTGTTACACCTCCACGTGCTACGACAAACTGCCGCTTACGTTGTTTTATGTTGATACACAGAGTGTGACTACCTAGAGACTTTCATTTGTGGTGCCAGTTGACTTCAGCTATGGGGGCAGGAGCTACTAAATCTGACAAGAATCAGAGCTTTAAGGAACTATCTGAATTTCCACATAATGCTCATATAACCAGCAAATTACTTTGGTCACTCCTCTTTCATGTTCTTAGTAAGGACTTAGTAATCAGTTATATAAGAAGATAAGTAGTTGTGTCATGATTTAGCACGCTCATTCATTTTGTTATCCTGTATCAACTGCGCTTTGTATTCATTTCATTATCATTTAATTCACGGTGCAGTCTTGCATACTGCCATCACCATCTGTGAAGCTGCAGACTTTCAGTTATACTGGGGGCTTGGCCAGCTGCCCGCTGCTCAGGTATTGCTGCAACACGGAGGGTAAGGCTGAAAATGGAATAATCCCTTGCTCCTCCCTACCACCTCTTTGGCTGTTCTGAATATTGTTAGAAATGTCCGTGCCGTAACAGGGTGAAGAGTTCCGAGTTCACCATCGCAACAGAACCTGTTTCAGCCTTTCCTCGCAGTAATTCTGAATGGTTATTCCCTGTTGGTATCACCTCAGGCTGTGTTTCTGCGTACCTCTGGATCAGAGCTGCGTGCCCAGGGTTGCAGTGCCGGTATCATCCAAGCTGGCTCTTAAAGTGTCTTTCCATCAGAGAAAACCGGGAGGAGGCTGGGAATAGCATGCATCTAGGTCTCACCTCTGTATGTGCTCATGATTTCCTTAGGGTACGCACATGGATGCAAAACCCTGAAAGCCTCCTAAGTTTTCTAGCCTTGACGGAGTTTGGGAATCAGAGAAGACATGCAAATGGATGACAGAACTGCATCAATAGTGCTGTAACTTTATAACTGATGTCTCCTGCTATAAGAGACAGTGTTAGCTTAACACTTTCATCATCAAGGAATAACAGCATTGCACTACCTGACCCAGAGAACCACAGACTGAACTCACAATACGGTTAAATATTTTGTTTAGCTGTGCCTTCAAAATTTCACGGATCCAAAGAAATGTAAGGACGTAGTTTACACCTGGTTGCAATTAAAAAATACTGTCCAGGGTTTGACAGAACAGTGTTGCTATGGGATTTGCCCTTTGAATCTCGGTGCTGAAGAAATAGGAGTGCTGGGCGCGACCAGCGATCACCGTTCCGTTACACTTTCAGGAGGTGGAGGCGGTGCCGTGGTTTGGACCAAGGCCGTTTCCCTCCTCGTCGCCAAGCCCCCATTCCCTGGGCTGACGTCATCTCCCCCGAACCCACCCGCGGAGGACTGCGCTGCTGAAGAAGGAGGTGGCAGTGGCAGAGCTGCGGCAGGACAAGCCCACGCTGGAGGACGCAGCGTGAGACACGGGGCTGCTGACAGCACGACAAAAGCATTGCCCACCAATGTCGGTATCGCCTGGCAGTGCCTACCGACAGCCCCGCTGCGCAGCAGCTGTTCTCTGGTGCAGCTTCC